CTACTTTTACCAGTCTGCTTTGCAAAAAAAATTTTTTACCATGTCTAAAAAATTGAAAATTTTTTTTTTGTTTTACACCTTACTTCTAAGGAAAATCACCACGCCTTTCCTTTTTTTTAATCTCCCTCCTCCCCCCCCTTCTACTATACCCTAAGAAAAAATCTCAAGCAGCCACCCTAATTGCACCCAACTCTCAACCTAAACTATATAATTGTAAACCATGTCACAAGCAACAAAATATCAAGTATGTGTGAGTAATTGAGGAAGCAAGATGCGAGTTGTACTCATAACAACGCAAAACTGTAAAATTCAAGTACACATTACTGAGTATCAACTACAAAGTTTCTCGAAAGTAATGAGTAACCCAAATTAGTTTTGTATTCAACCATATCTGCGCCAAACTACAATCAATATTTGTAGGCTTAGGGCTACAATTGTGTTTGAAGATAATTGTAAACTGTAGTATTTTTGAAATAAATTGTAAACAATACTGTATAACAAATCGATCTGTAGTAATCCGTATAACGAGCGATCTTCTTTTTTCGAATTCCCAAGCAATTTGGTATACAGGAGTTCAACTGTGCAATTTTTTAAATTTATTGTAAAATTCAACGTAAATAAAATATAATTAAAACACAAAAACAAGCGCCACGTGCTCGCTATAATACAAACACTAACACGGAATATTTTTGATTTTTTATCACGACCAATTTTTAAATTGCCAAGTAATTTTGTATGCATATGTTCTATTGTAAATACCATATATACAAGACTGCGCAGTATAAAAAATATAAAAATTTAACAACTGCAGTCGAACTTCAGTATACCAAATAGCTCGGGAATTTGAAATTTGTTTGTTATAAAGGAGTTTCGTTATAGAGAAGTTTTAAATGCACTATGTAGTGGTAGACGGAGATTCAAACGTTATTTTTTATACAGGAGTTCCACTGTAATCTTATATTATTCTTCCTTATCGTACCGTCATAATTTTTTGTCCAAAATCTTAAAAAATGTCATACCATAACTTGTCGTACTCTATCGTACTATGTATATCTTTGATATTTCCGCAGCCTTTTACAGTACTATGCAGCATACTGCATTTTGACTATTCCCAACTACCATACTTATTAATTTGTTTAAACGTACTAAATCAAGTTTTGTGATATTTTTTACTATCATATTCTATTTTATATATAATATATTCTATGCTTCTTTATTGCAACTTACTCAAAATTTCTCTACACTACAGGAACTATTAGTATTTGAGTTGTATATTTGTTATAACCCTACGTGCATAGAAAAGCTTCTCTATAAAACATGTTACAAGGTCTTCTCTGTAAATTCTTTCAAAAATTCTTGTTTTTAGAGTTATTTATCACAAGATTCTACGGTATTTACATTACATATAGAAAAACAGATTTTGAAGGAAAATACAATTTTGTACTTGAACAATACTATGTAGTCGCTACGTCAGATTGAATTGCGTTAGTTGTCAGTGTTAGACAGAAAACAAAAACAACATTCTATCTCTTCAACGTTAACTAAGTCCCCTTGAATACCAACGAGTTCAACTACATCTCAGCCAGAGATTACTGAGTAAATCTTTGAAATAGCAACAATGTTAATCAGCCGAAGAATTTACTACGGCTTCTTGCATTCTATAATATTAAGTTGTAAAGAAAATTACAATATTAGAAATGCCATATGTATTACATTACAATATTAGTTAAAAATACTATGTGTATTACATTACTCTAAATGCTATTAGAATGCAAAGTAATGTAATACATTTGGTATTTAAAAGTATACATCGTACGTTGTCTTCTTTGTCTTTAAAGCCATAAGAAAGCGTTACAGAAATGTAATTTGTATCTTTATGTAATTATGTCTAATTCACTGTATGAACAAACCATATTTGGTATAAGCAACATCTGAACTACACTCTAGCCTTGTTGTAGCCTTACCACTCTTAACTCTGCGCTAGTCCTGACCTTCCTTACTCTTCATATAAGCATTACCGCTAGAATTAGTCTCCCGTAACCCAAGGCTTCTAATAAAAAGAAGCTCGCTAGACCGGCCCAAACCTATTTTAGCCCTACCTTTACTCCAACATAGCTTTACCAGCTTTCAAACTTAGCACTATTCCAGCCTTTACCTACCCATAATTTAGTCCTATTTCAGCCTTACTTTAGCTTTATCTTAGGAATCTTGGGGTTACTTTAGCCTCATAGTTATACAATAGCGCCTGACAGTTTTAAATTAGCCCTACCTCAGCCTTATCTTACGCTCATATTGGCCAACATCAGCTTTACCTTGTTAGTCATACTATAACTCTATGTTAACCATACTTCAGCTCTACCCTAGCTTAAAATGTTTTATGCTTTTCTCCGCTTTTCCTATTTTTGCTTTTTTTCAAAGCCATAACTCTTGTTGTTAACCTTTCCTTAACTTCTGTCTAAATGCGAGGCCAACTTTTCTGTTGCCCTTTACCACGCAAACTACTATTCATAATGAAAAACATTTGTTAATGATATTTGATTAAGGTTATTAAACGTATCTTAACACAAAGTCATTAAATGTTATTACGCCGAAATATAGTCTGTATTGATATTATACTTGTTGTGGTTGTTATGTAAACACCTTTGGACTATAGAAAATGACAAACAATAGTTTAGGTAACCGTAACATATTAGTGGAAATTAGTCTAAGGTAAGATGGGTTAGGACATTTTCAGACAAAGTAATTTAATTTGAGGCATAGTAAGGTAGTTTAAGTAGAGCACGGTGGTATATATAAGTTAACCTACGGCATACAGCGGCAAGACACAATAGACCTCCCATTAGGGTATTGTAAATAAAGCGCGGTGGGAAACAGTAAGGCTCTGTAGAGCTCAGTAGAGTTTCGTAGGATACGGTAAAATACAATAAAGCTCGGCATGACAATTTTTACAATAAAAATTGTAAGCATTGACTAAACTCTGTCTATCTCATTACTTTAAACCCAAGAACCAAAACTCTTTTGAAAATTTTAAAAAAATTTCATTTTTAAGCTCTTTTCTCTAAATGCCACATTAAACTTGACCACCCGCAAAATTGAATAACATTTTGGAAAAATAAGTCGTATTTGTAACGCTCGAAACGTTTCGACATATTAGAGTAGTGAATTAACAATTCTTGGTTCAATTATTCATTATTTGGTGCAGAAGTTTTGGTTTTTTGACATTAGGTCAGAAAACAAGTCTGGGTTGAAAAAGTCATGGCTTATATATGGTTTAATAGTCGTGTTTTCATGGTTATAGGAAAAGGGAAAATTTAAAAGTTTATTTAAAATTTATATTAAATTTAGTGAATGTACGATAATTATAAAAAAACTTTAAAAAACCATATTTTCAACGTTTTGGCTTTAAAGCCCTAGTTTTACCTTAACAAGCCCTGCCCTGCCCTCTGCTCTAGATCTACCCTATTATTTATATATCATATACTTACAGTATCTTTTATTTAACCTTTATGAAACTGCAACACGTTCAAAAGCAAGGTACGTGCTGTAGTCCACTTTAGAGTGTTAAGGTAAATGCTGACTGCTTCTTACTATGTCCTTTCATATGTTTTTCTAACAAAGCTTTACCTTTGTTCTACTCTAGCCCTTCTATAATCCCATACGATTTATATCCTATAAAACTTTTTTGTACAGTTCAGTACAATACTAACAAAATTAAATATAACTTTACAACCCAAAAACAAAAAACCTTCAACATCTGTCAATAACTGTCAGTATAAACATTCGGTTCGAATTAAAAATTCTCCTTAATTCATGTACATAAGTACTGTTTAACGCAAAATTTAAACAAAAAGCAATGTAAAAATGAGGGTGTAAGTGGTTAAGTATTCCCAGTGATGTTATAATGCCCAACACAGCACTAATTCCACTTACGGTTTAAATTTTAACATTCACGTTTCAAAATTTCAAATTAAAAGGTTTATTTCATAAGTTTAAAAAAATTAAAAAATGTTATAAGTAATAAAAGTGCAACATTTTTCTGTTTTTTAAACAAGAAAACCCTAAATTTTTGTAAAAGGTGGCTTTAAATCACAATTATCATAATACAGTGGTACTCCTGTATAACGAATCGCTCAAGAACTGTAAATTTGTTCGTTATAAAAGAGTTTCGTTATACAAGAGTTTTAAATGCACTGTGCAGTGGTAAACGGAAATTTAAAAGTTGTTCGTTATACGGGATTTTCGTTATAGAGCAGTTCCTTATACAGAAATTTCACTGTAATAAGATCAAAACAAAAAAAACCTCAAAATGTTTTTAAAAAAATGTCACAATTTCAAAAAAATAACAATTTCGTATCATGAAAAGTGTCAAACGTCAAACAATCCAAAGGTATAGGTTAGTCCATTTAAAGTAAGTAATTGCTTGAGTAAATGTTTTTCTGTAAACTGTTGCATTTTCTCCGTTCAAAATGAACCCGATGGTTTTGTTGTAAAGACACAAAGCAATTATAATATCTCCCATAATTTGAGGAAACAGTTGCTACGACAGGTAAACAAATGGTAAAACTATAATTTAAAAAAGAAGTTTTTAGAAGTAGGATAAAACTAGAAATAAAGCTAAGACGAAGGCCAAGGCTAAGGCTAGGGTTACGACCATAGCCCTGGGCTAAGGTTGATGCTGGAGCTTAGGCTAGAACTTAGGTTGGAGCTAAAGCTGAAACTGATTCTAGGATTTAGGCTTGACCGTAGGTTAAAACTAGGGCTTACAAGGAAGGTCTATGGCTATGGCTATGGCTATGGCTATGGCTCTGGGCTAGGGCTCTGAGCTAAGATTAAGCCTACATAGTAACTATAATTCATTACTTTTAAAGTTTAAAGCTAGCAATATGTACAAATTTCAACCTACTTCTAGTACAAAAATCACAACGTTAATTCCAATAAAAAACTTTAAGAACACCAACAATGGTTTTGAAATTGTTTTTCAAAGAACTGTCCAAATTGTTATGTTGAAAATCTCAGTGTTTGTCTTGCCAACCCGACACTTATTTCTGGGTCATGCAGACCGTCATGTGAGCAAGGTACAATTACAAACAATAACATCAACAGTGTCAATAGTAATTTAATTCAAAAAAAGGTAGCTTTGTTACGCTTTTGTGGATAATATACCCTAAAGCTAAGGGTCAGATTCAGGCTCAAGCTCAAGCTCAAGCTCAGCCTCAGGCTCAGACTCAGGCACAGTCTCAGACTCAGGCTCTGGATCAGGGTCAGGATCAGGATCAGGATCAGGATCAGGATCAGGCTCAGGCTCAGGCTCAGGCTCAGGCTCAGGCTCAGGTTCAGGCTCAGGCTCAGGCTCAGGCTCAGGCTCAGGCTCAGGCTCAGGCTCAGGCTCAGGCTTAGACTCAGGCTCAGGCTCAGGCTTAATCTCAGGTTTAAGTTCAAGCTCAAGTATAGACTTAGGCTTAGGTTCACCAAATGCTCAACTTTAAGCTCTTGTTTAAGTGCAAGCTCAAGCTCAAGCTCAGATTTAAGCTCAAGATCTAGATCAAGCTCAAGTTAAGTCTAAAATTAAAACGACTAAAGATAAAACTACGGCTACAGCTACTCCTAAAGTTAACAAAAAATTACCAGCCTCTTCGGTCATTTTTAAAACCTACAATTTGAGAATGAAAAAAATTTGAAATAACATTTTTCAAATGCTTGTTATCATGTGACAGTGTTTTTTGTTATATGTTAGTCATAGGTTTGAGTGTAATTCAATCGAAATGTAAAAGTGGTCATACTTGACCGCGTTTGACTTTTATTTTGCACGCTATTACAATGAACAGTTTTTTGTAATATTATCAAACTTTTTCATTTTTTTGAAAATTTTAAGCCATACTCAATTAAAATATAGTACTTTATAGTTTATAAATAAGCATAATAAACAAACTTTTTCATTTTTTTGAAAATTTTAAGCCATACTTAATTAAAATATAGTACTTTATAGTTTATAAATAAGCATAATAACACATATATTGTAATAGGACACATTATTTACTAGGGCCTGCATGATTAGCTGAGAAACCACACAAAGTATTTCCTTTAAATGCCAAAAAACCCATATTACCATAGAAAGACAAGCGAATAGGTGTATCAATTCAAAAGTATTTTCATAAACAAAATTATTGAAAAAGTCGAAACACGTCTGTGTTTATTGTGTCTTACATTTTTTGCTAATCTCCGTGGATAAAGACATGGATAATCGTGTAACAACGTCAAACTGGCACATTTCTCAAAGTTATTTGTTTTTGAGTCATATTCTTCATAGAATGCAAATAATCGCAAAATATTGAAACTTTGTGCAATTAGGAGGGTTCGTACTCTAGACGTACTAGAAATTTGCTAAACCTATCGTAACCTTTTTCTAGACCTACAGCAGTTGTATTATAGCTGTAACTTGATCGGAGCCCAGTCTTGCCCTTACCACAACCCTATACTAGTTTTGCGTTGGCTTTATCCCTACTGTAGCCTTACTATAAACCTGTACTAGCTTTACCATAGTCATGATATAAGCCTGTACTCGTTCCCAATGTACTAGCTCTACTGTAGCCTTGCAAAAACATTGTACTAACCCTAACTGGACCTTAATATAGCCTTATTATAACTCTGTACTAGCCTTGCATGGCTCTTGCCGTAACCCTGGATTAGCCATCCCTGAAACCCTGTACTAGCCATACCTGAGTCATACCAAAACCCTGTACTAGCCTTACCGTAGCCTTAGAATAACCCTGTATTAACCCTACCATAGTCTTGCTATAATTCTGTACTAGCGCTACCGTAGCTTAGCCATTATCTTGTATAATACTAGCCTTACTATAGCTCTACTATAACTGTCGAATATTAAATATTCGGATAAAACAATATAAAAAGCAACTGAGATAGATAAGAAACTGATCGAGATTAAGGCTTTGAGAGAAGGAGCCCCGGTAGCTTAATAGGTAGAGCATTCGTCCGGTAAACGAAGGATGCAGGTTTCGACTCCTGCCTGGGCCACTTTTTCTCTCATAGTCTGATATCTCTTTAAAATTCTACAATAACCCTATACTAATAGTATTTCCTGAGACTTGCCATAGACCTAACGTCTTCTTCCCATAGCCATATCTTTTTTGTCTCTGACGGTTACAGTTGTATATTTTTCCATCCCAACCCTAACCCTGCCCTATCCAAACAAACGTTAATAATTATATGTATGTAATAAACCAAAAGTGTATCTGTCTGCTAGTATAATATAATATTTATCGAGTAAAAGTTCAATGGCTATTTGCTGTTTATCTCTTTGGCATTCAGCTCAACATAAATTGACACATGAAAGTTCAATGAGGCTTCGGGAATTTTCAAATATTTTAAGTATTCCTTGACAATCGCATACAAGAAATATCTATCAAGCTTCCTATTCAATTCATTAAATACCATGAATCCGTACAAACTTATAATCACATATTTGACTAAAGAATAAAAATACCATTAATATTAGCTGAGTGTTATTAGTGAATGCTACAGTAAACGCTAAAATATATAAAAGTTTAGACAATAGAAAGTTAAGTACGGGCTAGAGTAAGGACTAGAACAAAGGCTCAGTTGAGGCTAACTTAAGGCGCTACATATGGTTAGAGTAAAGGCTACAGTATGACTGAAATAGAGGCTAAGACAGAGCTAGAATAGAGGCTGGTAAAAGTTACGGTTAGACTAATGTAAGGCTAGAACAATGCCTAGCGTAACGGCTTGCGACTGAACAAAAGCTAAGATAATGCTAGAATAAAAGCTAGAAGCAAGCTAAAGTAGAAGCTAAGTAGAGGCTTGATTAGGCTAATATAACGAAGAGGTTAGTTAAATGCTATAACAAGGCTAAGGTAGAGCTAGAATAATGGCAAGAATAACGGCTAGAGTTGAAGCTGAGTAAGGGCGATGATAGAGCTAGAATGGCAGCTATGCAGAAGTAAGGGCCGGTCAGAAAAAGTCAGTCACGTATTACCAAAATGTAAATCACTATCGTAAAACAATAACATATAATCAAAAACCTGATTAAAAACTTTAAAATAAATCCAAAACTACAATATCTTTGTACCACATATATCTTGTGACCCCGTGCTCCCACTAAAATCTCTTCATTTACTCTGTAAAATCTCAAATACTGTGTAAAACATCTTCGAATCCGGCTATATATCCCGCCCCAAAGACATCTTTAATTGTAATTAGTTGTAAGGATGGCTTCGTCGAATTGCAGCTAATCTCTATTAGTCATTCTAATGCAAATATCAAAAAGATTTCCCCTCTACCATGAATGTAGACTACAGCGTGACTTTTGACTCATTTCCGACCAGTATTAAAACACGCACATAAAGGTAGATAAAGCTGTAATGTAAGGTCAGAAGGCTTTTATGAAAAAATGAGATTTAATACCATTTAGAATGCAGAGACATGCAGTAATACGTATGAAAAGAAGCTAATAACAAATCATATACAACTTCTAGGTATAGCCTTACCCAGAGTCTCAGACCTAGCTTCAGCCTTAGCCCTAGCATTTGCTATAGCCTCAGCCATAACCTCAATTCTAGCCTAACGTCTAACCTTAAGTTTAGCCTCAGGTTTTGCCTCCGCTTTAGGATCAGCCCTAAGCTCAGTTCAAGCTTCAGCTCTAGTCTCAGCTCTAATTTTAAAACTAGCCGCAGCCCTAGCCTCAGCCCTAGCTTCAGCCCTTGCCTCAGCCCTAGCTTCAGCCCTAGCTTCGGCCCTAACCTCAGCATAAGCTTCTGCTTTAGTCTCAGCTTAATACTAGCCGCTACCCTAGCCTCAGCCTTCTAATTTTAATACAAAATGTATTATAATTGTATGATAATTTAATTATAATTTTTGCAATTTCAGACAGTTTTATTTTAGCCTAAATGAAAATCCGGTAATCCAATTTGTGGACAAAAGATAATCCTCATTTGAACTTTGCCAAACTGTATCCTCATGTCATTTTAGAAAATTTAATCTGATAAGCGATGTTGACTAATGTAGGCGGGTTAATCTTTTTTTTAAATTGGTTAGTTTTTAAAATTCTTGAATTAAAAAAATTTAAAAACAAAATGTATGAAATATTTTAAGAAAAAACATTTTTAAAAAATTTTAAACATAAAAAAAGAATTAATAACATTGTTTTATAGACAGCTTTGTCAAATACTAACTTTTTACAGTCATAAAAATAAGATGATGGACGTGTTTCAGCGTATAAATAGACTTTCAAGTTTCGGCCGCAGATCTTCGCGTTCAGAACTTACTTTTGTTTTGTGGAGTTGTTTCGGTTGCCTTTTTTGTGATTTTCTTTAAAGTTTGTGATTGAATTTTGTTAAATTTGTATTAATATAATATAATAACATTTATTTGATTAGTTTTATTGCTTTTTTTGTAAAAATCTTTGAGTTTTTCAGGGTTTTCTCGACTTTTCTGTGTTTTGTGAGACTGAAACAATGTTATTGTTGGATTTGTTGTTATACTTCGCTAAATTAATTCTTTGTATGCTTTTCTTTATCTTTTTTATGATTTAATTTATTGTTTTTTATGTTTTAGAGTAAAGAGCGAACTTCAGGAAGGTGAATTTAAAAGTTATGGCTGGACACCATCTTCAGCGAGACGAATACGTGATAGCTAGCGGAAAACGGACAGAACAAACTAAATATCGAGTCAAATAGAAGGTAATATGGTTATCAGAAGGATAGAAAGTTGTTCTATCTGTGAGTTTTATTTTATTTTTCTTCTTTTGGTTTTTAGGTGAGATTGAAGGATTTTCAACTGGTTTAGGTATCAAAGTTGCATAAAGAAAATATATAAAGTTTTAGAAGAAAAATCTTTTGAGTGTTTTAAAAATGTGGTCGTTTTTGGTTATTACAGTTGCTACCGCACCTGCAAGACCGGTCGGACCGTGCGATTTGTTCTTTGTGCTGACCGATTTTGAAGATGGATGAAGTGTTATGGGTAAGGTTACTTTTGGTAGTACTATAACTTCAATTTACTTTTATCTGATACAATAACAGTTATTTTACTAACTTTATTAATCTTATAGCACAGTCTTTTAAAAAATTTTATCTGGCTTTATATTAACCTCTCTTTTTCAGCCAATAGTACTGTACAGTATTGTAAATGTAAGCGCCGCCGCGTTCTATGTTTGGGGATGTTCTAGAAAGAAAAAGTCAGCAACACCATCGCAGATAAAGACTCCCAGTAATGTCACACCTCCACCCGCCACTCCTTCAAAACAGGCTCCACCCACGCCTTCGCAACAACAACAAGAAGCTCCGGCCGCTGCAGGATCCAACTCTGCGCCGGCTCCGGCTGCTGGTGAGTTATATTGTAAAACTTTAATCATAATGTATCTTTCGACTTATTATGGTTTTGTATTTTACTATAGACTATTAGTCTATAGTTATTACGAACTGTCGAATTAGTTTTATTGGTTAAAGTAGGAATGGGAGAAAAGGTAGATATTAGTTTTAAGGACGTTTCGATGGAAGGAGAAGGTTCAAAATTTTGTGAAATTTATTTTTTTTGTTTTAGCACCAGAAGTAAAGCCAGCAGAGACTCCAAATCGCGATAAACCGGCAGAATCGACCAAAAATACACCAGTTGGCATACTCCCATCTGAGGTAGGTTTTTCTGTTTATAAATAGCAGTAGGTTTGGAAAAAAAATTTTTGTTTATTAAATATCATTATCACATTAAGATATATTATTGTTATCACAATAAAATATCATTAGCACGGTCGAGAGGTCTAAAACGAATCAGTGTTTTTGTTTTTTTAACCAAGTGTACTATACAGTATTAAAAACCGTTTTAGCACTAAGCGCAGCTTGGAAAGGGGAAAAAACTTCATTTTTTCAAAATTTTGAATTTTAAAACTTTGAACTTCATTTTAAAAATTTTTTTAAACTTTAGAAAGGCGGTTTCACATCCCAGAAGAAGCGCAAGATCGAAGAGAAATTGGAGAAGGAAAAGAAGCAAAAGATCGAATCCGGCTTCTTCGCATCGAACTCCGAGGACGATACGTTGGAGAAGATTGACAGTTGTAAACAGGAGGAATCGGGAGAAGGCAACTCATCCAAGAAGCGAAGCCGAAAGGTCAAGAAGAAGCCGGCCGAGAATAAGGACAAAGAGAAGGAGAATGATAAGCCTAAAGAGGAGAAGAAGTAAAATCATATCATTTGGCTGGACTGTGATGAATAAATATGGGGATCTGTTATGTTATGGGTTATTGGGATCGATTTGCTCATATTAGGTTGAATCAAAAGTAGCGGGGCACTTTTTAGTTGAAAAGCAAATGTAAAGTGTCCCGCTACTTTTGGTTTAACCTAATATTTATACCTATATCTCTTCTATATCTCTATGCCTTACTTCTTACCTACTATCTTAAACCTACATACCCCCTAAATTCAAAAACTCAAAGATATACCCATTTCATGGTAATTTGCAAATGTTCACGTAGCGCATGAAAAGTACACGACAGTGGCTATTAAATCTGAAAGCCATGCTGAAATTGATTATAAATTCCATTTCGAACACTTTGATCATTTCTTGATTCCACCGCTATGTTGTTCCTCTGCTTTTTCATAATTTTATGGGTTGGGAACGAAGCGAAGGTGTTTCGATACACGATTCAAGCCCCCGGGTTCAGCTCCACTGAGGTACGTGGGTTTGAAAATGGCGTTTTATTTTGTAATGTCAGGTAGGAACAATAGCGTTGAGTTAAGTATTGTACGTCAGAGTAGAGCACTGAGAAGGTAAGGAAACGTAGAATAAGCCAAGGAAAAGTATATAGCGAAAAATAGTCTAAGTAAGAGTAAGGTAGGGAAAAATAGTGGTGGGTAGAGTAGTGTGTGGCAGTGATGTTATAATTGTAGCATTTCAGGATGATGAATATATTTCTATGACTGTAAAGCCACCTCCAGGATATATAAGTAAGTATACACCAATATCATCTGTCTCACTTTCATTCTTTAATGCAGATTTAGCTCTATCCTGAGTCCTAGCTTCAGCCCCAGCTTCTGTCTTAGCCTTAGTCCCATTCCTAGCTTCAGCCTCAGTCCTAGCCTTGGTCTTTGCCTCAATCTCCATCCTAGCCTCATGCTTAGCCTCAGTCCTAGCTTCAGCCCTAGCTTTGGTCCGAGCCTCAGTCTTAGCTTCAGCCTCGTCCGTTGGCTTTAGCCCTAGCTTTAGCCAGCGGCTTATGTTTATAAACTAAAAAATTAGTAAACCACAGTAAACTTTTATCGAGTAATGTATAAATACAATCTTCATAGAACAATTTACCACAACGTATTTTACCTTGCAGTAGGCTACGAACCGAACGCCACTTCAGAACATATTCATCATTTGATGTTGGCTGGCTGCAGTGAGCCTTACCACAAATCGTTAGGCTTAAACCATAGTGGTGACACTTGTGATGGTCGAGATTGGTATATGTACTCATGGGCCAAGAATGCTGGAGACATAAGTCTGCCGAAGAACGTATCGTACAAGATAGGGCATCAGAAGGACAGTGTACAGTACTTGGTGTTGATTTATCATTATGCCAATAAGGCTGTGGATGGGTACAAGGATTACTCTGGTAGGAAGTGTAGTTTGGTTTTAGTATTATATGGTTGAGGTGCTGCAACACAACAGCATGCTAGTATTGTACAAAAGTATCAATTTAATAGAATACAACAGTGCATGTAGTAGTAAAATATCAAGGTGTTGTACAGTAGCTATCACCATTACTTTCATCAATAAATATTTTACATTTTTTAGGCTTAACGTTAGTAATGAGTGATGAACCCACTAAATACAGTGCAGTAGAGTACTTGTTTGTCGCTGGTACCCCATTACCACCTGGTGAAAAGTTGTACAAGGCAAATGTTAGTTGTACGTATAAAAGTAAGTACATCATTATTATACCCTAGTTTTTTAACCTATCCTACCCTTTCTTAATTCCTTACTCTCTCTTTGCCTGTCCTCGCCTTTCTTAATCTACCCTAGCTTTTCTTAACTTTGATTACTATACCGAACCTATTTTTCCATAATTTAATTTTAAAAAATATTGAAATTTCGATAAAAAACATAATTCTATGAACTTTTTGACTAAAAAGAAAACTCAAAATTCGAGAAAGTTCAAATTTTAGTTATAAAAGTAAAAAATAAATTTTAAGGCAAAACCAAAGCCACTCCCTTCTTCTACCGAGTCCATACTCATGACCATGGTCTTGTCGTGTCTTCGTATATCTTCAACTATGAAACGGGATTTCATTTGGTAGGAAAAAGACATCCCTTATGGCCTCAGGTTAGTTAATATATTTAGCAAATTTTTTTAAAATTTGTTTTTGATTCAAAATTAAAAAAGGCGTATTTTGAAAAACTGAAACACAATTTTTTAATATTAAAATACTTTAAAATAAGAAAAAAAATTATTATGAAAGAATTTAATACCCCTTTTGGCGATTTTTAGAGCTTTGAAAAGGTAGAAAACCCTGTAGCAGTACAAGAAAATGACATCCTGGCTGCTCAATGCATCTACAACACTGAAAATGAAACTGATGACATTCCGATGGGGTAAACGTTTTCTTTTATATAGCTTAATACCCTTCCCTACCTTTCCCTGCCCTATTCTAACCTGCTTTACCCTACCCTACTCTGCTTTTCCCTACCCTACTCTGCCCTAATTTTCTCTACCCTACCCTACAGCACGCCTTCTTTCAGTATCTTTAATCATTTTTATAATCGCGCGCCATTCTTTTGCATCAAAATTTCTTTCAATCTCAAAGACTTTACAAACCCTTTATAGCATGACCAATCACCATGAAATGTGCAACTACCAGATCATGTTTTACTACGATTCCAACGAAGAAAATCCATTTGAAGACTCGAGTATGTGTTATGATTCTGCACTGGAAGAACAACAATTCGAATACCCAAATGTCGACCTTTTGCCTCATAATCAAACGCTCTTGGACATGGCCAAACATAGTGAGCATAATAAGCACAAAGGTGTCAAAGCTCATAGTGAACATGGCCATGCAGTGGCTTATCATGGATAATATGGATGATTCGATAGTACTAAAAGTCTCATCAAGCCAAAAGTAGCATTTTATGCCATTTTTTATGAGCTAATATGGGGCTGGAATTCAAAAATGTCATCCTTAATAAAGTTACCTATTAAAATTAAAGTTTTGAAGTCATATATTATCTAAAATGTCACATTCTTTCCATTGCACCGCACGTCTGTCTGAAGTAAAACAAAAATTGGAAATGGAATTTTCTGGCTTTTCGTTACGTTTCAACGTGCTGCGAAGTGTCAAAAATTAAAATAAAATATAATAGAGAAAAGAAAAAGAGAAAATAAAAAGACCATTTGAAAAATTTTTGGACACTTTGCAACGAACGAAAAGCCACCCACCATTGGTCATTTCCCATTTCAGACAGATGTGCACCGTGCAAGTTTAAAAAAATCGAAAGTGCCATTTCCAGCCATTATTTTAAAAATCGTTTCAAAATAATATTTTCAACTTTTTATTAAACAAAATGCATTAAAATTTGTGCAATTTGCTACCCAAATAAGTCTTAAAATACGAAAAAAATCAAGTTAATTAAGGTTAACAATACTTATTTACAAAAACAATGTTAGAAAAAGACATTAAAACAACATTAATCAAGATAAAAATCAAAAAACTAACAAATTGGAAGGTTATTAGACCTGTTACATATTATTATAACATTAAAATCGTATTTTACAATCAAAAAGGTTTTTAAGTCTGCACGGTGTAAAAGAAGTTTGCACAGTGCAAAAATGAAAGAACGGCACCGTGCAGATGTTTTGACCTTTACTGTAGTAAAATAAGACAAAGTAAATGAAAAATTTGGCAAAATTAAGTTTTTCAACATAAAAATTTTGTGAATTTAAAAAAAGATTTACAACCATTAAAAATTTAAAAAATTGTGACAAAAAGTAAGAAAAAGTGATAAAATCAATCAGTATACGTTATAATACACTAACAGCCTCTATATCACTTTTTCTTTATGAGAAAGACCTGATATTCGTTGGTTCAAAAAAAAATTTGTTGTTCTTGTAGTTATTGAGCTAAAAGACATTGAACATACGTTTCTTACCTTGTTTTAGACATATCTAGTATAATATACGGTCGTACAGTAATCTTTAATTCACAGTACGGTGACCTTAAAAATCACTGTCGTATCGCACTGCCAATACAACAGTAAGTATTGTGTTTCACAATTATGGCCCGTATTTTACACCCTTCGCATCGTGCGAAGCTTCTCCAGCCGGCTTTGGAGATGAGCATTCGTTTCTTTGGCTTCGTCTAGTGAGTTCTCTTTGTCTCTCAACTGAAACATCAAACTGTCAATAAAAATAGCTAAAAACAAATCTGATAACGATTACTTTTTTCAAAATAAACCTTCTTGTCCATCTGTACAGTGCAAAACCGAAATTGTACAAATTGCACATGCAAATACACAAAAAGCTGTAAATCTGCCATAACTCATGCCAATAGACTATCATAACTGCCATAAATTATAAAAATAGTTTATGAAAACTGCCAAAACATATCACATACCTCTTTTTTAAGCTGTCGATTTTGTGCTTTCAGTTCGGTACATTCCTTTTCCGACTGTTCTGCTTGAGATTTGTAGCGATTTAGCTGGCTTTCCACCCGAGAATACTAAAACATTTCATATTAATCATACTCAAAATGCCAAAATCAATCGAAATTTACAATCTAAAACAAGGAAAACTTTTGTGACATACCATCTAAATGCCATAGCTAAAAATCATACCTATCATAGTGAATACCATTCCAAACCTTAGCCACCTTTACTCCAGCGCAGAACTACCTCTACCCCATCCCCAAACCATTCCTTACCCTGGAAATAACCGCTACCACACCTCAAAACAACACCCAACCTTACCCGAAGCCACCCCTAATCCTACTCAAAGCTACTCCTTACTATAGCCAAACATAACTCCCTACTCTAACAAATACCTTTACTTATACTAGCCAAAACCTACGTTTCCCTGCCGTGTAGCCTGCTCCCGTTCCATTTCCTGAATCCGAAGCCTTAATTCCGAGATTTTGGCCGCTTCCCTTTCCATTTCAGCTGCTGAGACACCATTTGCAATATGATTTTGTTGGTCTTGTTGCCGTGTTCGGCGGGCGTATAGGATTTGTTCCGTTTCTTCAATCTGTTGTCGTAGTTTCTTGTTCTGAAATGGTCAAATTTGTACAATTTTTAGTTATTTTTAAACATAAAAAGCCTGAAATTTGGCTTAAAACTTAAAATATTACTGTTTTCAAATCTAGTAAGGGCATCGAAACCTAAAATATCGAAATTTTAAGTCTTGAAAATCTAAATTATTAATGCTTCTGAGCTAAATCGGACCCAAAATTCATAAAACATTGACATTAAAAATAGAAAAAAGCATTGGAAAATCAAAAATAATTTTGCCTAAGTCTAAAAATCGACAAAAAATTTGAGAAACCTTACCATATCGACCATTTTCTTCAACTTTTCGTCCAAATTCTGTTGTCCTGGGATAGCTTTCTCAATTTGTGATATCGTGTTGAGCGACAATAACATGCTATTGGGTCTTCTAAATATGTACCAACATTAGAAAGTGACATAAAATTTCGTTTTTTAGTTCTTTTCGTAAATTTACGTAAGTTATCGAAAAACAGCCCAAAATCGACCGAAAACACCTTCAAATTCGTACCTAAAAACAGAAAACTCAAACATTTCAAAAAACTCACGGTTGGAAGTCAGTAGAAGCTGTGCTACAGCTGACCAGATCCTCCTCGTCCAACTGATCCACCAAACATAACCCGTTATCCCTTATCAGTTCGTCCCTCTTCTCGATTTCACCTTTAAGTTGTTGTTGAATCGTCTGAAGGCCTTCTATCGTTTTCTGTAGAAGTTTGACTTCTGTACCCAGATTCTTAGCCTCTCTTTTAGCTTGATACAAAACTTCGTCTTTCTCCTCGAGGTCGTCCTTCAAAAGGTCGATTTCGTACAATAATGTAGACTTTTCGTTATCAACTTGGGAGTATAATATCATTGCACGTTCGAACTTGTTCTCTAATTCACTGACTTTGTCCTGGAAATGTTAGGCATTACAAGAATAATGCAGAATGCAAAAACCTTTTGTTGAAAAAGTCAAACATTTGAAAATTTCATCTTTCTCAACCCTTAAACAACTTAAAATCAGAAAAAACGTTACCTAATTAAACATAAACCCTGTTTTTCACATATATTCCAATCCGACATGTAACATATACACACAGACACTTTAAAAATTAAAAAAAAACATAAAACTCACTTGAAGAACTTCTATTTCGCACTCCTCCTTCTCCTTGATTAGTTGAGACTTTGACTTACTCTTTCCATTCTGAAATAATTAAAAAATACTGCAAACTCCATTAATTCACACCGTTTGTGAACAAAATGACCTTTCACATACTAAAATAATATAAAATAGTAAAAAGTTTGAAATTAAAAACGTTAGGTTTTCTAAAAAACAATAACAATGTTATACAAAAACTTTTTTACAAGAGACAAAACTAATCTCAACATCACAAATTTGACAAAACAAAAACAGCTCTAAACGTAAAACAACTAAAAATCAAAAGAACTTACCACTGCCAAGTAGTTTGCCTCATCCGTAGCCCTGATCTGCTTTTCCAATTGTTCTAGACGATATTGTCTTGCTTCATCTCGAGCTTCTCGCTTTTTACTCATTCGATCTTCTGCCTAAAGCACAAAAAAATAATATTTCATTAGCATGTCGTATTTCACAATTCAAAATTTACAAAAAATATCTATTCTTTACATAAATGAATTTTATAATAGATTGAGCAGTAGTTTTAGCCTTTTTAGACCTTAAATCGTCGTTTTTACCTAAATATTAAACACAAAATAATAAAAAACTTACATCTCTTGTTATCCTATCTAACGCTCGTTCTTCTGGATCATATCCCACTACCGGCCTTCGGCGATAACCCGATGAAGAGGTGTACGAACTCATTTTAGGTATATCTGGTGCTCATTTGGCGGCAAATCTAAAAATGTTAAGTTTTAGTTTTCAAATCATGTTGTAAAATGTAATAAAACATGAATCTAACAATACGACAAAAGAAATAATCGAAAAACAAGCTAAAAAAAGTATAAATATTAATGTTAACATAGACAATATTAAGGTTAATATACCTTTATTATCAATACGTAAATATATAAGTTAAATGTTAAAAAACAAATAAAAAATAAGTGAAAAAGTTGTTTTAAGATAAGAAAAAACTATTATCTAAAAAATTAAGAAAAAGACATTGTTCACGTGTTTTTACAAGACATTTGAGGGCAACCGGCTCCGAATCTGACTCATAAAATAACAATTGGTGATCACGTTCCAACTCGCCTAATTTTTCCTCCAGATTTTTATTTTAAAAGGCAAATTAGAGTACAAATACGACATATATTATTGATGTCTAAATCCAATATCAAATGTAAAACAAAGTTTTTAAAAACAAAAAAACTTTTCATCTAAAAAACAAAAAAGATCTCAGCTGGGTGCCTGAAAAGCCATTTTATAAATACAAGTTTAAATAAAAAAATTAATTACTCTGCACAGTGCAATAAAAAATCTATTGATTGCACTGTACAATGATTTTTTCACGTTTCATAACTACCTTTAACACCAAAGTTTTTTCCTGAAAAACAAGCTATAAAATCTACATAACAGGTCAATTAATATATCTTATTTGCAAAAGTTCTCAGACATTCTGCACAGTACATCAAGAAAATCGAAATTATTGCACCATGCAAACGTTTAAATTCTTAAAACCTCTCCAACAAGCAAAGAATGCCATTCTTTCACCAAAACCAATAAAATTCGTCAAATTTAAACACGTCCCCAAAATTTCACGCCAATTATAACATAAAGAACAGTCTGTCAAAGTAAATTAAATCAGTCGAGATTCTTGAAACAAAAAAAACGCAAATTCTCGAATTCACAAAAATTTGCGAAAAATAGATATTATGAGCAAGGAAATGCCGGCTGAAACTTTTACCTTGAAGCTCTTATAATATCAAATTCAAATGCGAATCAAAAATGTCGTGTTTTTGGAATTTTTTACGACAAACGCAAAATGCATAAAATTTAACGTTTTTCGAGAGGGCTTTTAGGGAAAAGGCGTGAATGAGAAAAATTGAATCAAAGCGGTTGTTTTAGGAGGATATTTTGGATTTTTTAAAAATTTCTAAATAAAAACAGTTCTTCTTCTGATATTTTTGTTTAATTTACGCAAAAGTTTGTAGATTTTCCGCTTTTTTTGTAAAATATGGCGTAGACGTTGAAAAACGGTAATAATGCCAAAGTTTCCTAAACATAAAATATCCTATTTTACGTTTTAAGCTTTCAAAATTGGGTAAAATGTATAGAATTCTATTATTTACCATTATTTCTAAACAAAATTTTAAAAGTTATCGCCACAAGATTTTTACAAATATTTTTCTGACCTCCATACCCACATATCCGCCGACGTCGCGTGCCGAAACCTCGATAACTCCCGCCGCAAAACCGAATTGCCCAAACCTTTGTGTAAATTAGAAAGGCCTTAAACTGGCCTTCCTAATTTCCGAAACTTTTTGGGAACGAGAAGGTTAAAGACCTTTGTTCGATCCCCATTCTTTTCCCGAGATCTTGTCCCCTGGTCGGGAGGGAAGACGCAGTCGAAATCCCATCGGGCTCTCGACTTCTTTTTTTTTCATAAATGTCTGGTGGAGGGGAATCGTTTTATCGTCGTATGTTTTGGAGGCGAGATATCAAGTTGCGTTCCCTCGGCTCGTTATGACATCTCAACGGCTCTATGATGTGCGAATGATGAAGATGATGTTGTTAAAGCGGGTGGTGTGAAGTTTGCTTTGCGGTGGGGTGAGAGGAATGAAGTTAGGTACAACATATGGGTACTAGAGCTTCTATAAGTATTGTTATATGCGTTAAAGACACATTAACTCAGGCAAAGTAACAAATAATTTCGTATTTGTGGCCAAAAGCTATTCAAATTTGTCATGTTTATTCAATTATAACATTAAAACCTTAAACAAATAATTAAACAAAAGATAATATTAGCTTTGGATCAAATTTGCAGTAATAAATAATCTACAATAACATAAAACCTCGGATATCAGTTCTATGTCCAGTTTGTTAAGCATAACGTCGCGACGATGCTGGAGATGAGAGGTAGGGATAGGCGAAGGCGTGAGGATCCATCGTGTATTGGCGCCATGTTTGAGGTTCCACATCTGGTGGGTATTCCACACGGAATCCTTGGGTGTCACGGTTCATACCATGATATCTGATTGAGGGTGAGGTATGGGTGGAACGGTGGCGGTGTGGGGGCTGGAATGGCACGGGTTTGAGGAAATATTCGGATTTTTTGGGTAAAGGTATAATAAAAATGGCCGTATTTTGAGAAAAATTAAAATTTGCATAAAGGTTTTGGAGGCTATGACTATATTGTACGAGGCTAAGACTATATTAAGAGTATTAAAACTTACAGGAGTATCTGGCTCTTCGTAGATCTGTTCTTCACCATCTAGATCAACGTTCTTTGGGAATCGAGCCCTTCTTTCATGTCTTGGAGTATGGTTTCTGGAGGATTCTCTTGATTGTGATACCCTCGTGCTGGCTGGACGGCTTTCGATCTATAACAATATCAATTTGTACTCTTATAATGTGTCGTACTATGCAATTTACTCTTACAATGTATAGCACTATGCAACTTTCAATCGTACCGTATAGTACGAGGTCTTATAGTACCAGTACTATAATATAAATAAGCCATTTCAGAATTGTCAAAGGGAGGGGGGGGGGTGATTTTAGCTACCTTATTCAATTAATTCTGTGCCCCTCTCAAAACAAATTTCATAGTTAAAGGGCGCAGAATTATTTGAACAACCAACAACAATATCACTTACGTCGCTTTCAGTCTCCCTGATCCTGTACCGTTCCGCTCTTCGTGGATACAGGTCTGTCACGATCATACTTCCATTCATCGTGTACTCTGGAGGTGGTTGTGGCAATCGCGTTGGATTCAGAATCATTTGTCGAGTCTGACGGTCGATTGTCACCACCCCACCATTACTATAGCCTAGCATTTTTAACTGTCTATTGCCCATGTAGTAGATACTTTCTGATGGGTGTTCCACGCCGAAAATGCCGTTATTATCACAGACTTTGTGGAGTGAGCCAAAGACCTTAGCTATTGTTTCGGTTGCGGTTATCATGCATCTACAATAATATTTGTTAAACAGCCAATTAACCACGTATTTTACAAAAAAAATTAAACCTCAATTTACTAACTTTTCCCTCTAGTATAACATGTAAGTTATCGTATTACAGATGCATTAACCTTCCCTACACTACCTTATCTTACATTCCTGTACTCTACCATACCCTACCCTACGCTTCCCTACCATGCCTTACACTACACTACCGTACCCTGCCCTGCAATACACTGCCATAACCTATCGTGTCATGTCCTACGGTACACCATACCCTATCTTATAGTGCCATAATGTAGTATGCTCTCCCACCTCCTATCAATACTTTTTACGTCTTTGCCCTGCCATAACATACTTTATTTTCACCTAACCTACCCTACAATACAGTACCCCAACAAAAACTTACAGTGGCAACACGAAGACCATGGACAAACATGACAAAACAGCCACAGCAATGAGTACCTTCCAAATGTGCACCAATACTGGTGCATCTACAGCCACAGGCAATGGGAAGAAGAAGGCTCCTAGAACAATGGCAGAGAACACTGTCGGCGCCAAACTACATTGAAAAGCGTAGCAAATTCGATCGATCGAAGTTTGTTGCTTACTTCCAGTGTTGACAAACTGATAACCGAAATGAATCGTCATTACTGCGGTGTAAATATTGCCCATTAGTAAGGTTGACAATGTGGCTGCATTGAGTGGGATTCCGAAATATGAAGAATATCCGTATATTCCCCCAGTTATAATGGCGTTATTGACGAGGACAGAGAAAGAAATAGCTGGTTGCCAGATGAGAAGGAAGGTGATAACTACCAGTGATCCAATTTCAAAGATAAAGGCTAGTAGAAAGCGGTTTTGGACCTAAAAATTGGGTTTTACTATATTATTTTAAATAATTTTTAAACTTTAAAATCCCTTAACATCGAAAACCACTCTACCTGAACATCATGATGAAGAGAAAAGCTCATTGGAGTCCTGATAGTCAATGGCAAGTCATATAAATCAGCTTTCTCCAACAAATCCTTGATCAACTCCTGTCTCTGCTTCACACCCTTCTCACTCAACTCCAAGTAGGACCTCGACTTGATGATCTGAGTCTTGTGTCGGTCATAGACAATATCACTCGCATATCGATGATATTGTTCTGACTTCAAGAAGACATAGTTGATGACAGCAATGATCGTATCTGGATTAATGTCGTAGATACTGTTGTGCTGGAATCGCTCGTAGTCGGACAGCCAGCTGACAATTTTGGTGACATAGCCATCTTCTTGAGGTCTTCGCATGAGGTCGAGGAGTTCGGCACGTCGATTCTTGTCGTAGTAGTCGATTGGACCGTCGAAGATGAGTTCAATGTACTCTTCGTAGTTTCTGAAAATGATTTAGGTAAGCTTTTATCTATCTGATACGTTATCTTTAAGCAAAACATTATCGTTCCCTCCTCTAACGAACACTATATCTTCCTCTAGCTATCACCTCATCTTTCTCAAACAACACAAATTTAATACAAAGCCATTTCAAGCTTAAACCATCCCATGCATACCTAAAAGCCGTCTTGTACTTGGTCAAATACTGTGCTGAAGACGAGTTAGACTGTACAAAGTCCTCTTCCTTCATTGATACATTAACATTCTGTGATCCGATGTAAGCAAATATGACAAATATAACACAAACACACAGAGATACAGCTTTGAATCCATTCGAAGAGGTAAATTTGCCGACAGATGAAGCGAAATTTGGCTTCAAATCAGCCAACTTTTCGTGTAACATCGTCGCCGTTTGAGGATCGTAGTCTACTACACATTTTTCTGAAAGCAAAGCGTCTTCTTTACCTTATACTACCATTAGATCAACAATCTTAACCAACTAAATCCCAAAAAATGAATTTATACCAACTTATCTACTATAATACCCCAAGAAATTAAAAACCCAACTCATTTTAAAGCTTAAACTCAATGTTTTGAACCTTAAAAGTTAAAGTAACTCACCACTGAACTGTTGATCTCCAGTTTTGCCAATTTGCCACCATTTTAAGCCTTCAGCTTCTCTTCTACCAGACCAATACCAACAAACTGTCATGTACAACATGGAGAACACCAAAACTGCTGTTAATCCAGAAGAAATTGTGAAGAAACCAGCTTGGATTAACGTAAATGGAGCAAATATAGCCGTTATAACTAAAACATAATTTCTTTTTATTACTTTTTAAATTTTTAAAATTAGCTTTAGCACCGTGCAAAACAATTTAGTATTGAAAGCCATTATTTTGATTTTTAAGTCTAACCCAATATAAAAAACTATCCATAACTATAAAAACCAACTTACTAGAACAAAAAATAACACTAAACAATGCCATTAACGTGCAAGGACCATCCCATGACACAATAAAAGCCAGCTTTTCAGCTGGATGTAGAGCTGCCAATGAATACCGATTCCAAGTCTGTCCCAAGGAGAAGAACAACAAAGCTCCAGAAGCACTAATCACAAAGACAGCTGGAAACACCATGGCATTCATTTGACCAGCTCCAGCGATTTGAACAGCATAACCGACGAAAGCGCTGATGACAAGGATGATACCTCCTTGAAGGCCTACGAATGGCCTGGTCTGAAAGTTTATGGTAAAATACGAACGAACTAGGCACGTCATAATAATAAAAATCGTTTTTAAAAATTATCAATATATATTTTAGCCAAAACTATTCTTTTTAAAAAAATCGATATCAATGTGAACAAAATGTCACAAAACCGACCTTCAGACCTCTGCTTCAAGAAAAGATAATAAAAAATAGTAGTAATCACTTACTCTGTAAGAATCCATTCGAATACTGACCAAAACGCAAAATATAACCAACAAAATGGCAAAAGGAATCAGTCGATAATGAGTGGCAGTAAGAGTCTGCACAACTTCCTTAACATAGTTATACATCGACCAGTAATACACACGCATTTCCTTGTCTGAGAAACGGTTGGTGAGCTAAAATGACAGTCGATGAGATTTTCAAAGAATTTCCAAAAAAATTTTTTTTTAATTTTGTGAAATATTAGCAAAATTATTAAAAGCTTACCAAACTTCGCAATCTAGCATCAAATTGATCATAAGTTTCAGTCTTTAACGTGTCCTTCAGCTTAATGTTCATCTGAATCGTATTCGACTTGGTAACGACGTTTTCACCATCAACATCGACTCCTAATGTTAAAATCAAATTAAAAAGTCTATAAACCATAATTTAAAAAGTCAAAATCAATATAAAAACACAATTCCTTACCACCAAAGATGTTAGCCAAAGAGAATCGATGCTGTTTGTTGAACTCGTCGTAAACAATGGCATCTGGAAACTTGAGCAACGCACGTCCATTCCTCAAGTTTTTGACCAGTAAATTGTCGGCGACGCAGTTTTCACGACAAATATCGTCCCACTAAAAATAAAATATAATTGTTAAACAATTTTAATGTAAGATACCAGCAGGTTCATAGGATCTACTCTACAAAACTTAAAATTACTTGAAATACAAAAAAAAGTGGGACCTAACATAATATAAACCATAAAATTAAGTCGAAAAAAAGCTTTAATGAGGCAAAAAACTACCTAAAATGCAAAGAAAACCTATATCTATAATATTCACTAAAATAACAGCCCAAAAACATCTATGTTATTTACAAAACCCAAAATCTGCCCAAAAAAGCGAAGTGTCACAACTTCTAACAGTCAAAAGAACGAAATGTCACAAAAGTCAAGACAAATTTTTGTCCCCAAACAATAGTAAACATCGTAAATTACATTCTAAAAATTTTTACTTACAGTCAAACTCATGAAAGCATGAGTAACGGACAAGTTCTGGATCATCGCGTTCAACCTTGCGTATGTTAACAATGACGAGTTGGAAATGATGTTGGTGAATGGGTTCCTGAAGATAAAGTAAGTTAATGGATGTTTTTAGTAACGTTGGAGTTTTGGCTATGTTTTGATACTAATTTTGGGTAATGGAGTCTGAGTTTTCGTTTATTATGATCTGTTATATTATGTTAGGTTTATCAAAAGGTCTTAGGTGTCTACTGCTAATTTATATTGTTATATCTTTGAGGTAATGAAAGTATTAGCTACACTAAAAATTTACAAAGTTCTGAAAATGATATTATATCAATTTCCAGTTAATAAGGGCTTGTGTTAGTTGGTTATAACAACTTATATTATGTTAGGTCTACTTACTTTGTGCTTAACAGAATTCCGAATTCAGAAGAGCTCGTCCTTTTCAACGCATCAAATTCAGGATTTGTAGAGTTGAATTGAAGTAGATTCAACTGTGACCTTAATGATCTGGCTGCTACAGTTGGATCTGGACCGCTGAGGAACGATGGGAACGGCACGTTGATTTGGAGCTGATTCTGGTAGTAAATTGGGCCAACAAGTGAGAATCCGATGAGGAAGATGGGTAAAATTAGGAAGAAGACGCCACGATTGGCTATGGTTTTGGCTAGATGGAAGAGCGAGGGCTTGATCACTCCTTCGATCAGTTTGGAATGGTTGATTTTGAAGGTTGGGACTTGGTACGCTGAAAAGAATGGGCAAGGTAGGTTAATATCATTTTAATGGCGAGGGGATTCGTTTTAATATTGAGGAAAGTAAGATATAGAATTTTCGTAAAAGTATGGATAAATTGACAAGAATTGAACCTAATCAAACTTAATATGGGTGGAATATCGAATATTTAACTTACTATGAACACCAAAATGAGGATGATGATAAGGAATAGCGGGGGCTAGAACTCTTTGCCTTGGAACAACCCTCATTTCTGATGAATCTTCACTGTCTGGAGAGTCGTTGTCATCCTGAAATAAAAAAAAACTCATTTTTAAATATCTGACAATGTGAGTATTAAAAGCTTTAAATTACTCTGCACGGTGCAGTTTTTTTTATTTTAGTGATAAGATCAATTTTTTAAAAGAAAATCAATTTGCCGTACTATAATAACGAGTACAAACTTACTGAACCCACTTTGTCCACAGATTTGTATTTAGGAGCGGCTGGAAGAGTGTCGTCGTGACCGCGGTTGATTTGCCTTGAGGCGCGTTTCGACTGGTCGGTATCGGTCCTAGACATCGGCGGGTCGTCCCGCTCTTCTGATGCCATCTGAAAGGATGAATTTAAAATCTAATTTTGAGGCTTGAAAAACATTTTTTGATGCAAAAAGAATGGCGCGCGAATTAGAAAAATAGTCAAGGATACTGTAAAAATGCATACTGTAATGTAAGATAGAGGAAAGTAGGGTAGCTTTGAGTAGGGTACTGTAGGGTAAGGTAGGGTAGGGTAGAGTTGGGTGGGGTAGGGTAGAGTTAGGGTAGCATAGGGTACGGTAGAGCTGGGTAGGGTAGGGTAGAGTTGGGTAGGGTAGGGTAGAGTTGGGTAGCTTAGGGTAGAGTAAGGCAGGGTAGGGCATGTTAGGGTAAGGTAGAGCGTTACAAAGTAGGGCAGGGCAGTTTAAAGTTAAAAAGAAGGCGTAGTAACAATAAAAACAATGCGATAGTAAAGTTCGAACAAGGTTTATTTTGGAAAGCTCGAAGATTTCTTCCGGTTGAGCAAGTGGAAGAAATAAAAATGGGTCGATTATCAGTTATCAACGGGTTCGGTGAAAGCCGGAATTCGTGCAACAACCTTTCTACTCGACATTCTCTACAAAATGTAGGTAATATTAACTTTGTATGTAATAGACTGTTACATACAAAGAGTAATAGACTACTACATACAAATTGCTATTAAAGTTTTACATTTTTGTAAAATGAATTTGAGATGAAATGTTAAGGTAGGATAGGGTAAATTTGGGAAAAAAAGGAGAAGTGACAAGAAATGGTAATGTTAAAGTAATATAATGCGTAAATAGTGGTAAAATGTGATGGGATTTATGGGAAAAATATGAAAAATTCAAAAAACAACTTTTAAATATCCCTATATATTACTACAAAGTGCATTTATAACATCTGTATAACGAAACTTCGTTATAACGAACACATTTAAAATTCCTTACTCGGATGGAGCTAGGGGACTACGAGAGGTTTGTTATACAGGAGTTCTACAACATTGTTTTAACACTGTAAAATAAGTACTACTTATTGAGTAGTACTTTACTTTATTAGGTAAAGCGGTAAAGGCAGAATTAGGCCTGGGCTGGTTTTTACTCATCAGGGGTTGAGGTGAGCGGAAGGGGGTAGGGTCGAGTATGGCAAAAATATTAGAAAAAATTTAGGAGGAGGGAAGAGGGGTAATTAAGCTTTTGAAATTTACTATTCTGGCTTGCTTTTTTTTGGAAAAACCGTCGTCTTCTTACTTCTGTCCTCACCCTCCCTTTCTACTATTTCCTCTTCTCCCCCCCTCCCCCTCCCCCCCAAAAAAAGACAACTAAAAAATCCACCCCAACCCTAAAATCATCCCGAAACTAGTCCAAGAATTCGAAACATGCTTATGACGTGATGATACGACGACGATACAGTTGCGATCCCCACCTTCGTATCATTATTTTAATTTTTGTTTTGGCGAGAAAAACGGTCCGGTTTTAGAGATACCCCCGGTTACCCCCACGGATAAACCGCACTCTCGGCGAGATAAAGAATGTGAAGATCAGAAGCGACGGAAAGCGAAAACCTTTCTATAATTGCAATACGATTACTATAGTGGTGATAAAAGTGCGCCGAAGAAAGGTGAAATAAATTGAAAGACGGCGCTTTATGAAGGGCTAGCTGAAAAAGTTTTTTAAAATTTTGAAAATTTAAAAAAGTAAATTTTGAAGTTTTAGAAATATTGAAGGTAATTTGGTTTGACAGGGTCCTAAAAGTTATCGAAGGGTTAGTGATAAGGTAATTTATTAGGTATCGACATGGGAATTTTACAGGAATACAGCAAAAATATGGCGGGTTCTTTATGTCGGTACCAATATTTAGAATATGGTAAGAACAGGACCGTATTTTCAAAGGAGGGGGGGAGGGAGTACTGGGAAGGCCCATTCCTTGAAGGAACTTGTAGTACTAGGCACCTCTTCCCCCTTCACTTTATAAAGGGTCATCCTGCTCTTCCAATACCATCTGAAGCTTTAAATTTCAAGACAATTTCAAAACAAAAAAAATTTTTTTTGATGCAAAAAGAATGGCGTTTTATCTAAATTATGAGACAATGGTCTTTTAACACCATCTGAAAATTCAAATCATAAAATAATTTCTAAATCTTGAAAAAAAATCTTTGATGCAAAAAGAATGGCGCGCTATTATGGAGTACGAGACACTGCTCTTCTAAAGCCATCTGGAAATTCAAATTTTTTTCTCTCTTAATTGCCACAGGCTTGAATAAAAAGTAGAAAAAATGTACAGAGCTCGTGGTAATTTTTTGGGTCGTTTTTACATTGAAGCAAATGTTACATAGAACCATAATATTAAGTAAGAAACGTTGCGCAACAGCGTTTCTTGTAATTTCTCTTAGGCTATTTGGTTATATAGTTGGTATTAGGTAACACATTTTTGATTATAATGTTAAGGACATTATTTAATAAGGTAAGGTAAAAATATGGTGTGGCAGGGTGGGTATGATAGTGTATGCTAGGGTAAGATAACAATAGTGAACAAAAACTTATTACTAATTCAAAATGAATACTGTGAAAAAATCAAAAAATCAACAACAATTAAAAAAACTAAAGTATAAAGATTATTAGTTCCCTATCAAAGGTACACAAAAGTAGCGGTTTGCTTAACAGTGTAATATTCTCTGATATCCACAAAAGGCGAAAAGCGGCGCAGAGTCCGTTTTGACCCGAATTATCAGTCGGACGCTAAAAGAAATCTTGTCAAAACTTTGGAAATGTTTCGAGAAGAAGACGAATTACCTGATAATTGAAACTATATATTTGAAATCGTTTCTAAAAAAGTGGTATTTAATTTCACTCTGAAGTGATAAAAAAGTCTTGTCGTCAATTTACGTTAAGTCATTTATTTAAAAACGACAAGATTTTTTTAGGTAATATATATGAATTGAAACTAAATTTTACTATTTTAAAGGTACCAAACTACAAAAAATATTGCAAAGGTGCTAAAACTACAATGTAAAGGCAATTTATTACATTTCAAATAATATTACACAGATCTCAGGTTAGTCAAGTACGTTCTCTGATCAGGCAGGTTCCGTACCCCAAGCCAACAACTATTGAAAATGCATTTTCGGCATTGCAGAACATCAAACTTTTCTGAAGTTGTTTTACGTTCGATTTGATCTACCAGTCGATCAAAGCAACGCTTGTCTTTGACTGTTATTGAACCGGTTATGTTTTCTCCCGCGTGTAGACCGAAACCTCTGAAATTATATGAAAATAGAGTACGATAAAGTATGAAGAAAAATAAAGACAAGGCGGGGGAAAGCAGGGCAGAGAAGGACCGGGTATGAGAGGGCAAGGGAAGGCAGGGCTAGCGAGGGCCGGACAGGGCAAGGCAGTATGGGTAGGACAGGACAGTGGCAGGGCAAGGCAAGGCAGGGCAGGGCAATGCAAGACTGTGTAGATATTGTAGATAGTTTAGTTCAGATATGAGGAACGGACCTTAGACCGGGCCGAACCTGAGTGTTAAGCCCGGCGCGTTCCTTATATCTATTTAAGGTAAGGTAGGGTAGGATAGGGTATCATTTGTACTAAAATCACAAAACTACTGTAACAACCTACCCAACACAATTCCGTTCAGGAATATTAGTATAAAAGTCCCAGTAGCCATTACCAGTAGCTCTTCTGCGATATAAGTTGAACCAGCTAGTATCATGACGAATTTGAAGTGTACCAATACGGTACCAACCTTTTGGCAGCTTTCTATCTAATAAATCAACATCTGGGTCTTCTTTTTCGACCGCTGCGTTTGCTGGAACATGGGTTTCACACGTGACTGTACCACAAGTTATTTCGTTGGTGTTACGGTAGTAGGTGCAGTAGACATTTCTAAATATTGAAGTTTTTAGGTACAGTAAGATGTGGGGTTTACCATACATTGAAGTGGTATAACATATTTTTCTTTTTATTACCTAAAATTTCAAAAAAAAAGTTCAGATAAGCCTAAAAATTAAAAAAAAATTTAAAATTTACTCTGCGGCCAAAATTTGAATAAAATACAAAATTAGAGCAAAATGTAAGAACATGTGTAAGTAGGAAGGAAAAAGAATACTATAGTAAATATACTTTTAAAAACTAGAAAAAAAGTAGAAAAGTGGCAGTTTTGTAAATATAGGGTTTGGTTTAGCTATCTTTTTCACCTTTTCGAGCGCCTTCTGCAGCGCTTTTCGTATTTCTCCTTCAAGGTTACCGAGTCCCCCATGAGGAAAATCTCATAAAAACGACAAAATAATTTGTTTACAGGGTGTTCTGTAGAATAAAAGGTCAAAATTGAACTGATAGTTCTTTTGAGTTTGTATTTTTTAAGTTGTTACAGTACTCAACCTACTTTACTCTAAAAAAGCTATCTTAGGCCTATAATAACTTTATGTACCATAACTTGAAAAAGACTATTCTTAAGCCTAGGATTACTCTATTTACCTTACAAAACCTCTCAGGGTTTAAAACAAGACCTATATTAGATGAAAGAATGTAAAACGTTACCGGTAAAAACATTTTTAAAACTTGCTAAACGGCCTTAGCTAGCGAGATATTAACGGCTAAGTAAAAAAGATATATGAGGTGTTTCTATTGTAATGAGGTCTAAGGGTTTATTTACTCATTTTTTTCAATATATTTTAAACATAAATTCTTAAACTTCATTTTTTAAATTTTAATTCAACATTCAAATAACTACACAATAGAATGCCGAGGATAAGCCGGCGGTGGACTTCGAATGTCTCTGGCACTGTGGGGCAGTCGAAAACTTTTGGAGCGGCATGGTGGTTCCGCAGGCATCCCCAGCGACGAATATCGTGGCGGTGGGGCTTGGAACGCACTCAGATTGGCAGGTACTGATCCCGGTAGATTCGTTTCTTCTTGTGGTTGACCTAACGTTCCTGATATCCAAATTGGTGCTGAACCAGGACGTTCGATTTGAACTCCTGGTGCTGAACTGACTATTGAGGCGGACATGCATCCATATTTTAGGCCAACCACACCGAACAGAATTAAGAGCCATGCTAATAGGTAGGAGAATATCACCAAAATTGGGCTGCTGAAAATGGAAAAATTGAAATTGCGTTACTTTTTTGGGTGGGGTAGATTAGGCGTTGAAAAATTGAGTAAGGTAAGTCAGGATGGGTAGAGTAGGAGGTAAACGGGGCTAGGGTAGACTGTTGCCAGGGATAGGCTATTGATATAATAAAACCAGAGTAAGGCTAGAGTAATGTTAAAGTAAGGTATGATAAGGCTAGGGTATAAGGTTGCCTATGAGTAGGCTACGGCTTTACTACGAGTAGGAATATGATAAGTATAGGGTGGGACTTAGGTAAGTTTTAGGGTAGGGTAGGGTAGGGTAGGGTAAGGTAGGGTAGGGTAGGGTAGGGTAGGGTAGGGTAGGGTAGGGTAGGGTAGGGTAGGGTAGGGTAGGGTAGGGTAGGGTAGGGTAGGGTAGGGTAGGATAGGATAGGTTAGGGTAGGGTACTGTAGTAGTTTAGGTAAGTTGCCATAGAAAAAATGAAAAATATTGTGACTTACCTGATATTGCTGTTTGATGTCAATATGAATGCACTTTCCAAGATTATTAAGAATGACAAGATAATAAAGGCAATTGAGGCAAACAACACATATTTCCTGAAACCAAATTTTATTTATAATAGTACAAAGTCTATTTGAGATTACACGTACTATATAGTTTAGTATTATATACACATAGTATAGTACTACACAGCACATATAATATAGTACTGAATTATAGCACCATAAATTAAAGAAAAACTTTTTGTTAAGGTGTATATTAATTAGTTGATTAATCCTTACCTGATAGGGTAGATACGAGTGATAAGTTGATAGTTAAGCGAAGATAACTCTCCCATTTTATAATTATGTACAGTTACAATATATTCACAAATAACAGGGATAACAATATGTTTCCATAAACGAATTATACCTGGCTAATATAACTGAAATAAAATTTTGTAAACGAGGAGGATAGATATTGAAATAACACAAACATGTATAATGTAAAAATACGTCGTCCCTAAATTCTAAAAACAGAAATAAATTAGATTTTGTCAAAAATAAAAGTTGTAAGTCAATAAATGTTTGTCAATGTTTTCTGGTTTATCCAGTAAAGGAACTAAAAATCCTATAAATAAATTTTTCTTGTTAGTGGTTGGTTTAGAGTTGTAGCCCATTTCTGAGCCTTAGCCTTAGCCTTAGCTTTAGCCTTAGCTTTAGTATCAACTTTAGCCTTAGCCCTAGCCCTAGCCCTAGCCTCAGCCCTAGATCTAGACCTAGCTCTACTAACTATTTTTAAAACCTTTTTTTAATATCAAATTTCTAAGTATTTAGTACCAATAGGTAAAGCCACACATACTGTCACAGTATAGTAAACAGACCTTTACCCTAGCCTTATCTTTTTCTTTACTTACTCCAATCTTGATCTATCCTTACTTTTTTTTACCTTTACCCTTGTCCTATTGTTGTCGTACTTCTATCCTACCGTTGGTCTACTTTTGTCCTACTCTCACAACCCTTTCTCTATCTCTTTTTGGTACTTTTATTCTACCCTACCTTTTTTTACTTTCATACTATTGTCCTTGCTTTAGCCCTACCTATGGATATCTTTTAATCTATCTCTAAACCCCCACTACCACTACTGTAATATAAATTACATGCACATCTTCCCCACCCCGAAAAACTAAAAAAAAATGAAAGCATTAAGAAGCGGTTGTGTTGAAGATACGGAGCCATTTCTTCAATTTTAGCTTCGATTGTATGGCTTCGGATGGCGTTAGATGCGAAGCCAATCAACTGCGGATTTATTGGACTTTCAATTTTATTTTTTGCCCACAGCTCAGCAATGCGATATTGTGAAATGCAACGCGGAAGAGTTGAGGATTACAACGTCATGGAAGCGATTACGCTCGGCTAATTTGTATGTTGTACTGTCGAAATGGACAAACATGACACTGCTTGGAGGTGTCGTAAAAATTGGTATTTTTAGCAAAAGTTTCATTTGAATTAGAAAATAGATATTTATAAGTAGGGGCTCGTGTTGGTTGGAAACGTATGATCTAGAGTTAGATCATCAGTAAAAGGGGGGGGGGAAACAAAATTAAAAAAATGCTCCAAATTATAATTCTAGATTAAAGTTTAACGAAGATTTTGGATTTTGAAACTGTAAAAGCCAAATACAAATAAAAATATTATGGCCAAAAAGCTTTGAAGCAGCTGAACGGAGCAAAGACAACAATACCACAGTAAAATACAACATAAATAATATTAAAGAGCTAGAATTAAAAAAAATCTAACTCAGATGTTTTCTATTGCAGTTCTTTATTATAAAAAAGAGAATACACGGTCAATGTAATAGTTAGACCTATAGTCGGGTCTGGCCCGAATTTTCTGCCCGGCCTGGCTTTTTTTAATTTTTGTTTGGCTTGGGTGGGCTCCTTATATACTAGGTTTAATACTAAAGATTGAGCTACTAAACTGCATATTAAAAAAACAATTTTAACACAACAATCACAACTACATATTTATTAATCAAAATAATTATCATCAACAGTAGTACAATCGTCTAACGTTCTTCAAGTATTTTATACCAGTAGCATAGGGTTCATTCTGAGAAAAAGAACGTTTTCATGGCTTTGTTAAAATCGTTTTTTTTAGTGGATCGTTGCTCACACACAAATGCAGTCAAAAGTTTGAAGATATAGTAATATGTAGGTGTTACGTCGCTTCGGCCTGAACCGGCGCAATCTAAGATGGAAGCCGAACCTGGGTTGCGTTGGGACTAGTGAGCTCTTTTTCAGGGTTAGGTATAGAAAAAGATCTACCTAAAAACCAAGATTTTTTTCTTCATTGATACTAACGATTCACAGTATTGATAGTAAGCGTTCACTTTATTAACCATTTTTGTTATATATATTCATTATTTTTGTCATTTTCATGCTTCTCACCCTCTCCAAACCGCAACATGTTCGATAAGCCTCTTTAGCCAGTTCTTTCAATTTTGTGACGCAAATGAAACGGATTCAAATGAAGACTTCAGCGCCGTTCTTATCATCCCTGACATTTATCCTCTCCACGAAATTGGGGCTTTTAAACCTCTTGAGTTTCTTCTGCGACGTTCCCACGGGAAGCATTCCAAGAGTTTTTCATTTCGAGAACGCTTCAGGCTTCAATTAGAAGAATAATATGGTACGGGGTTTTTTGGGGAGTTTAGGGCATGTGGGGGTGGTTTAGGGTTGGGTTGAGGTTTTGGTTTGATTTGAATTTGTTATGGACTTCGAGTTTATAGGCTACTGTAAGGAGGATAGGATTTTGTAAAAGAAAGTGAAGTTGTGATTAAAATATGTATGATAAGACAAGGCCTGCGCTAAGTTACAATACAGTAACAAATGGTTCTAGTAAGACTAAATTACGGTAGAAATATGATAAAGCAAAGAGCTAGAGTAGAAAATTGAATGAGAAGACTACAATAAAGCATAGACTAGTCTAAGACTAAAACGAAAGCTCAGACTCTAACTCAAGATAAGTTGAAGAATGAGACCAAGGCCAAAGCTAATCCAAACTAATTTTGATAATTTAAAAAATATTTTGATACCTAAAATGTTCTTAACCCTAGACTTGTTCCACAAAATTGAGTTTTTATCGACCGTTCCTCGAAAAATCTTCTCGTCTTATTTTAAGCTAGAATTACATTACCTAAAACTGTTTATCGGAAAGATTTAACGTGGGAGAGGAAAGGATAGAAAGGTCATGTGAACAACTAGGCAAAGTTTATATAATCAAACAATTAAAAATGTACTTAAAATTGAATCTTGTTCTAGCCTTAGCTTTAGCCTTAGCCTTAGTCTTAGCTTTAGCTCTAGCTCTAGACCTAGCCCTACTTAAACATTTTTTAAAATCTTTTTGTAATATGAAATTTATAAGTAGTAACACTCGGTGCAACCACACATACTGTTACAGTATAGTAAACAAAACTTTCAAAAACAATTTTTTACTAACCTAGAAAGTTTTTGCTCTCTAGTGTCATCCTCAACAGAATAAGCTATTCAACTTGCGTCAAGCTTTGTTGATGTAGCTTTTGTTCGGCCGAGAAAATACTACGTGACATTCTGCTGCATAAGGGTTTCTCGAGTAGTTTTTTCAAAAATGTTTACTGGTTTTGCAATTTTTTGAAATTTCACTTTTAAAAATTTTTTGAAATTAAAAATTTTTTTTTTCATTTTAAATTTTGAAAAAAGTTTGAAGTTTTAGACTGTATTAAATGATTTGTCGATTAACCGTATTTTACAATTAAAGCGTTTGCCCTTTTAAGGTTACACATTGTTTTAACGGCCAAAGGAGACGCTTTAGATATTAGAAAATGCATGCCTTTCCAGAAACAAAAAAGTCCACGAAAAAACAATGGCAAGCCGAATGTGTTCGTTTAATGAGTACAATTGCTCTTTGGCTCGCATTTGAACTGCTACGGGAGCAAATTATAGTGTTATAAGCTTTGACTATTTTTCGGATGGTATAAAATAAGGTAAAAAATGTTTTTGAATGATAACAATAAAGGTATGAAGAGAGTAGGTTAAGATAAGGCAAGAGTAATGCGAAGATAGACTCATAGTAGTATAAAAGTACGATTCGGGTAGAGTAAAGCAAAGGTATTGCTAACAATTGTAAGGCACGGCAAAAGTAGAGCTTGAGTAAGAATGTCACAAGAGTAGGCTAATGTAGCGCTAAGACAAGGCAAAAGGTAGGGTAAAAATAGAGCAAGGGAAAGGTAAGGCAAAATTAGGGCAACGGCAGAACAAGTATAGGGCAAAAGTAAGACAAAGGCAAAGCAAGGGTAGGGCAAAGGATAAGGCAATGTTATGGTGAATATATACAGTGGAACTTCCCTATAACAAAAATCTCGCATAACGAATAATTTTTGAATTTCCGTCTGCCAATACACAGTGCATTTAAAACTCCTGTATAACAAAGATTTTCTATAACGAGCAAATTTCAAGTCCTCAAGCGATTCGTAATACAGGAGTATCACTGTATTTCACTTTGTTCTTTTAAAAATTTTTTTATTTTACCCTACTTTATTGTTTTGTAAATTGTTTTTTTTATACTAAACAACGTATGGGAGTACGTTAAAATTTGAAAATAGATTCACAGAAAAAAGGTAGGAATAATACATTGACTATGTTATATATTGTAACTAGTACTATATTTTACTATTGCTAGTTGTTGTTTTAGTTATATTTGTTGTTAATTTTGTTGTTATTTAAATGTTTGATTAAAAAACCGTGTAACAGAACTTTTGGCGCACCTCGTAAGGATTACGTATTATTTATTGACATTTTTTACGAGTTAAATCTATAATAACGTATATTATACATAGCTAGAGTTGTATAATAGTTCCTCTTCTGTTTTTTCACGTATAAACTATGCTCGATCTTTGAGAATGAAACCTTTGATGTTTTGTCTAATACGTTTTTGGCATCTTATTTTATATTTTTGTAACAAGGAACGTTTTTATTAAGTCAAGGTGTTAGACATAACATAATGTTTGTCAGATTTGGGGAATTTTTATTAAATTGCTTGAAACTTTTTTAAAAGATGTATACTTAAACCGGCTTTTTTAAATTTAAACAGCCGGGTTTGAGTGGGTTATAGTGATAATACTGGGGACAGGGGGAAGGGGGAGGGGTTAAAAATTTTTTTAAAAATATTATAAGAGCTCCTTTTATAAACATAGCATGTTTTGAACATGCGAGTAATAAGCTGAGATTGTTTTGCCTATCGGATTGTGTCGGAAATTATGTTAGCCGCTTTTGTCAACGTCCACATCCGACTGTTACGATTATACTTCGGGCGTGGTTCT